TGAGTATAAACTGCTCCTCAATCCTCCAACAGTGCATGAGGTTAAACTGCTTCTTAAATACTCTAATAAAGTATATGAGTATAAATTGTTCCCTAATTTTTGTTGAGAAGTTCCTGGAGAATGTTTTATAAACATTCTTAAGGATAACTCAACAACACGACGCCGGACAACGCGTTGCAGATAAAGACTCGACGCCAACAATCGATGGTCAGCTAAATCAGGAACCGACTTCAAAGTTCAAAATTCCGACAACGGTCAGACAATAAATGCAGTACCGAAACTCTCTCAAGCATTCGACAAAGCACCGGATAGCCTGGAGAATTAAAGGAATCAAGAACGGAAGTCATTCCAAGGTCCCATTACACCGACTGAAGGTTGGGACAAGCATATCCAAAGTATTCCAGACTCTTCTATAAAAGAACGAGACTGAAATACTTTGGAGGGGGTATCTGTAGGCATATAAAATTGCTTATAGGTCCCTTAGCTCAGCTCGGCACAAACCGACAAACCAACGAGGCAACGAGATTGACTAATCGCACGCAAGCAACGGAATACGTCCATTCGCGTGCGGGATCAAGCCAAGTGTTCGAAGAGTCAACGAGTCATCCAACCAAGGGCATACTCGGACGAATCACGATCGAATCAAGATCGGTTTCGGACTCGAACTCAGAAGTGGATTTACTGCCAAATCAGGAATCCGACTTACTGCCAAATCAGATCAACAAATCGAATCTGAACCTATCAACCGCAGAACCGGAAAACGGGCACAAAGAGGCAAAACGACAAATACCTGGAGGTCGGCTCACTGAGCCACCAAGGAGGCTCAGTGGCCGAGCCACCTATAGGTGGCTCGGTGGCCGCCGAGCCACTTGTGGCCGGCCACCCTGTGCCCAAGGCACAGTGAGGGTAGCCTATAAATAGGCCACCCCCTTGTTCATTTGAGAAAGTTGGATTTTGGAGGAGGCGAAGCCCTGCAGGATTAGAGACTCAGATCTAAAAAAGATCTCAACTTTGAGACATCAAGGACTTGATCATCCAGATCTGGAGCTCGGCGATCATCAACGTCAAATAAGGCAGGTGTTCGAGAGGACCGGATCTCAGATCTACGTTGCTACACTCCGGATCTAAGCTTGGTCTTAGATCCCGAGACTTGGACGATTGTTTCCTTGGTGAAACAATCCTCCCCGGCTATTATTTCCTTGGTGAAATAATACCCGTTGTACTGCGTAGATCCGACCGGATCTAGATCGCGCGGTGGTCCACGGATTAACCCCGGCGCTGGCAAAGAACCCACACAAGCGAGCGACCGCAAAACAGGAGCTCGCGATTCGTTCGACAAACAATGAAACAAAGTTGTAATTTTCATTTCTTTTCAATTTGATTTTCGTTGTAACCGGATCTTATAAAAAGACCGGATTTTTGTAATCGATAGACTATTACAAGAGTGTACAATGGAATCATTAATGAAGAAAGCAACAGTTTTCCCCGCGAACAATGGGTAGAAAACGATGCAGGAAAGAATCCAATAATGGTAGAAAACGATACGGGTGGGAGAATCCAATGTGGGTAGAAACATTATATAATAACACAACATACACCTATTAACAGCTCATCACCAATCTATAATTCATTTCTCCAAATTCCCTCTTCAACAATGAACTATGGAGCTGGACCATCACACCTACCTTCTTCTTCTTCTTCTGATGACGAAACATTTTCTCATTACGTTGAACAATGGGAGGAGGATATGAAACAATGGGAGGAGGAGGATGAAATCTTAGCTCGTCTATATGTCTCTAACAATAAAATAATGGCTTATTTCTCTAAAGAGGAAGAGAGGCCAAAACGTATCGGCTCAGTTCCTGGTCATTTGGTAATCAACCGTGGGAGGGAAGAAGGTAATTCTCGACTCTACAGTGACTATTTTTCTGATAATCCCACATACGTTGCAAATTTGTTCCGTAGAAGATTCCGAATGCAAAGGAGTCTTTTCCTTCGTATCGTCGACGCTGTACGAGAGCACGACAACTATTTCATACAAAAGGTGGATGGTGTCGGCCGGCTTGGACTATCTACTTTACAAAAAGTAACAGCAGTATTTCGCATGTTGGCGTATGGTGCACCGGCAGATAGTACTGACGAATATGTAAGGATTGGCGAGTCAACTATAATTAAATGTTTGAAGAGGTTTTGCAGAGCAATTGTAGAAGTGTATGGAGATGAATACCTTAGATCCCCCAATACCGACGATGTTGCAAGACTGTTACAAAAAGGCGAAGAGCGGGGTTTCCTAGGAATGTTGGGAAGTCTAGACTGTATGCATTGAGAATGAAAAAACTGTCCAACAGCATGGGCGGGACAATACTCAGGACGTCACGGAGGCCCAACCATTATTCTTGAGGCAGTAGCATCGTATGACCTATGGATATGGCATGCATTCTTTGGCTTGCCAGGTTCTAATAACGATATTAATGTATTACAAGCATCTAATTTATTTGACAATCTAACACAAGGTATTACTCCTCCTGCTCATTATACAATTCAAGAAAAGAATTATGATGTCGGTTATTATTTAGCCGATGGCATATATCCGAAATGGCCAACGCTTGTTCAAACCATTTCCAAATCCGAAGATAAAAAGAAACAATATTTTGCAATGATGCAAGAAGCTTGTCGAAAAGATGTGGAGTGAGCGTTTGGTGTTCTCCAATCAAGATTTGCTATAATCAAGGGCCCTGCACGTTTTTGGGATAAACGAACTTTGCATGATATCATGACCACTTGCATAATAATGCACAACATGATTATTGAGGATGAACGTGATGAGCAAGAAGATATTGTTGTTTCTACTCCACCATCAATTTCAAATGTTGAAGACAAAGGGATGAACGATGTCGAACGGTTCCGACAATTCTTGGCCCGGCATAAGAAATTCAAAGACAAAGAAGCACACTTCGCACTTCGAAATGCATTAATTGAACATTTGTGGGAGAGACACGGCAATGAAGTGATGTAACTTTTTTTATTAAAGTTCCTCGAAATTCTAAGTTAATGTATTTTATTTCCGTTTAATTTTCAATGTATTATCATTTTTAATTACTTGTTTTACAATTTTATATTTCGATATTAGTCTCATTTTGAAGGTATCGACGAGACATTTCTAATGATATTATTTTCATTAAAAATATTTAATATATTAATATATATATATATATATATATATATATATATAGATTTTAAGTAAGTAACAAAAAATAATAGGATACAATTGGAATAATTAAATGTTGTTAAGAAGATTGAGGGTTAACATTGTCTTTTTTTTTTGGAATAGTAATATAGAGTTGGCTGCAAATTTAGATCCAAATCTCCAAAAATGCAGCCTCGAATCAAAAAATGCAGCTCACCTCCAAAATATGGCGTTCGGTTGGATTTAATATGGGCTGCAAAGTGGAGTTATCGCGGACGGTTGGAGAAGCTCTTAGTCTTGGTTTCTATTGCTGGTGTTGTCCATACTATTTTGTTCCCCTTGCTAATTCTTGTATGCGTCTTCTTCAATGTAGAAGAGGTATGAGCACACTTCTGTATTGGGCCAAAGGAAGGCTGAGTAATGTTGACAGATCTTCACATATCCACTGAGAGCTATATCTTGATTTTCCTTTACTTTTAGCACATTTTGCTGGAACTCGTATTGTTTAATCGACACGAAAGAACTTTTGGTTTTGTACTTTTATGATATGAAAAATTTTCATGTTTTGCTGCTATAAGAGGTTGGTGGTCGCTTATTTCACCCGCTAAGCTCAGAGAAGCAAAATAAACAAGCATCTTCGGTATCTTGTTAGCGCTGAATTTTATTATCCTGCGATGCAATGCAATCTCTCTCTCTTTCTCTTTTCTTTTCTCTTTTTCCACTTCCCCGATTGTTCGGGATATGCAGGTGTATTTGTAATGTAAAGAACACCTTGCTAAGTGATACTTATCAGGGGAATGTATTGCTTTTGCACAAGGTTATGCATCACTTAAATCTTTAAAAATTGATATGTATGTTAAAAGGTGAAGTGAACGTTTTAAAAGAAGTATTAGTTGTTTGGGTTAACAGAATATTCTGAACAATCTTTATTAGTTAAGATTATGGAAAAGTTTACGGGAAGGGAATAACTTGAAGGCCAAATAAAAAAGTTATTTTAGTCTGAAAAGTAAACCTAAGAACACATACAATTTGAGGTGTTATAAATAAGAAAATTAGAAAAACCATGAAAACACACATCCGTCAAACTAGAACTAGAATAGTAATTTAATATATTCAGTTAGGATTCTAGAAAAACTAAACCTATCAAATTAGATTAGATTTAGGTTAGGGTGATTTCCATATTAGCCGAATAGAATTGAACAAATTTTTACTGTAGACCCAAACCAAGTTTTAATACCAAAATCAACCCATTTTTTTTTTAATTACCAAAAATCGACCCATTTTATGCCACGTAAGCTTAATCACATTTCTTAATTAGTCGGGGTTGCCAACCCCGACTGTTTAGGGTATTAAAAATTAGGTTTAAGACTTCTAATTGGGGTTTAACAACTCCTAAACAGTCGGGGTTGGCAACCCCGACTAATTAGGAAATGGGATTAAACTTATGTAGCATAAAATAGATCGATTTTGGTAATTAAAAAAAATAGGTCGATTTTGGTAATTAAAACTTGGTTTGGGTCTACAGTGAAAATTTGTTCGAATAGAATTTTATTGCTTAAACATCCTCTCACTTCTTTCTGATTTCAAAAGCCGAATAGAATTTCCATTAAGGGCCTGTTCGGTTATTTTCCGAAAAAGAAAAGAAAACTGAAATATGAAATCAAAACCATTTCAAAGCATTTCACAGACGTTTCTCGGGCTTGTTTCATAAATCTGCCTTGTATGCGCGAAATAGCTTCCAATACTCTATTGAAGTACTTACTGACTGTATCTCCTGATCTTATGAATTGGGTTCTCATCATACGATTTTTGGATTTATGTCCCAAAATATTCAAAGATATGGCGAGTTGCTCCTCAACTGTTATATGCCTTGAGTCCTTTAAGAGTTGTTGTTTCCTCATTAACGTAGCTAGTTTCATAAATGCACCCTGTCGCATTCTAACAAAGTTTTGACAGCTATCACTATAACCTTCAAATATACGACTCATCAATTCAGACCTAGCCTTTTCCCTGCGCATTTTCTCAGCACTTGGTCCAGACCGTAGTGATCTACGGCGGCATTTAATTCTCGTCAAAAAGGTGAAAATTATTACCATGACTGAGAATGTAGCCCCAACACACATTCTTTTAACACCCTCTTCATCATCATAATCACCATCCATCTACAATATTTAGCTATCAGTTAATATATGTTATTAAAATTCAGAACACACTTTTTAGTTACTCAATTCAGTGTGACATCAAACAAATGTAGGTTACTGTTATTTTTCCTAATGGACTAACCAACCCACAAAAATCAAGACTAATTGTTAGGATATAAGACCAGTAAGCTGGCAGTTATAGTGCATCACAATATGCGTAGCAAGCTGATCATGAAATTTGGGATGAATTAAGAGGATACACTCATAGATCGTGGTGCATGTTACTCAATTTAATCAAAATATGCTCTTTGATTGAGGAATACCTTAAGGACAAAGTAGAGCGAGCCTCAAGCAAGTCGTAGTTGATGGAATCTCCGTTCAAGCACTACAGCTGCCAGGCCGGGCTCAGATCCGACGCTGAATTCGGAGGGGAAGAAGATAAGAAGCAGAAAGAACCGATAAACCCACCGTCGCCGCTAGATCTGGCGACGATAACACAGTCAGCCCTAGAACGGTCGTTCAGGGCCGCGATTTCCAGTTTTCTCAGAGTGAGGAAGATGAAATTAGAGCCGGAGCATAGGAGCCGGCATGAGGCGAAGCAATGGGGAAGAAGAAAGAACCGAAGAGTCGGTGACCATAACCCTAATCTTCTTTCCCCCCGCCTAGGAAATCGCAAGCAGAATATTAAATGGTTTTCGACGGAGTTTTCTGGGTGTTTTCAGGCCCAAAACCGATGAAAACGCCAACTCCCAAAGTCCGACGTGGAACCATATTTCAGACCCCTATTTCCCTAAATTTGTTTGCCAAACGAACACCTGACTTGGAAACCACTTGAAAACCGAATCCTATGTGGCCTGATCTTTTGTTTTCAAATCCCAGTTTTCCATCCGTTTTTGAGGCAAACGAACAGGCCCTAAAGAGAAAAACAATTGAAAAATTGCAGGCGCTCAAAACCCTAGTAGACATGGGCAACAAGAACGGCTTCAACCCATCACAAGAAGACAATGGCCAACGCAGAATCACTGGAAACTACAAGAACAGATTTCAGGTTTTTTTTTTCAATCTTTTTTTATTTGCTCCAGCCCCTGCTTGCCCCTTGAAACTTTAAGTTTGTCCCTGCTCACCCTTTGTAAAAAAAAAATCTGACAAATTGCAGGTACTCGAAAACCTAGAAGACATGGAGAACAATAAGAATATCAACCCATCACAAGAAGAAGATGACCCCAACAAGAAACAGAGAATCACTGGAAACAACGGGAACAATCTACAGGTCTTTATCTTTTCATTTTGTCAAATTGATTGCTGCGTTTGGGAACTAAGATTTGAATTTAGAATGTTGATTTAAAATCAAAGGATTTTAAATTTAGTGTTTGGATACACTATTATACATGAACTTGGATTTCAGGTGTTTTAAGAAAATTTATGCTTTCTCTTAACTCCTCAATCTTTAAGCGGACGTTAAGCTTTATGTTGAGGTAAAAGTTAATTAATGTTATTATTCATAATTAGAGAGAGAGATGATTTCAAGACCTCCAAAATCTCCTCTCCTCTCCTCTCTCTCCCTCTTCTTTTCTCTAATTAAATTAATAAAACTAATTAATTTAATTAGAAGTATAATAAGAATATTTGAAAATTTAATAAGTAGAAATAAATATTGTGGGAGATTTGTGGGGGTAATTACTATGCATTTGAGGGTAAATATGCAAGATCGTAGATTAGAAGGGTACATATGCCTGATTTTTCAAGAATCCAATAGTACCAAATAAAGGAATTAATGGGGATTAAAAGGGGGAAAAGACCGGCAAATAGATTTCTACAGAGACATAACACCATCTAAACAACAGATTAAAGAATCAGCCATTTCCATTTATTCACATGAGCCAGAATCATTACAAAAGAATCTCAATCAATCCCCAACAAATACAAAAAACATAATAAATCCCACACAATTCACATATATTATCTATATCATCATCATCACCCTAGTGAGAGAAGATTAGAGGAGCAAGAACAGCAAAGAGCACTGGGAAAAGAACAGCCACAGCAAAAACCGGCATCAAGGTTGCTCCGGCGAAAGGCGCCGGCGCCGGAGCCATCACCTAGCCCGAAACCATCGTCGCCGAGAAAAACATCAGCACTGCCACTGAAACAGTTGACAAACTCATCTGGGCCATTATCAATAACAAATCAAATTAATCACAAATTAAATTTATGAGAGTTTTTGGAGGGATCACTGAAACAGTTGACATTAGAAGCTCTAGATTTGGGAGTTAAATATAACAAATCACAACTATAAGTGCGCATCCTAACATAAATAACAAAATAATGGGAATTAAATATACCCTAAAAAAGAAAAAGAAATCCAAGAGAGAACTTACTCGAATGGGTTCAAACATTTGGGGGTTCTTGTCATCCAACTAGAAACTACTGCTTAAGAATAAAGAAAATAAAATCTCTTTTTTCATCATCAGGAAGTGACTTCAACAAAGAAAACTTTTCCGGGTTGCTATCCATTATCTTCTCAAATGCATTGAATACTTGAATGCGATTTAAGTTGGGTATTTTTGAGACCACTTGATGAATCTTCTCTCTAGTTGGTGGTTTGCTTACTACTTCCTTCTTTCTCTCATTAAAATACTCACTCACAGAAGCTGTCATCACTACAAATGAATCAACTATTTTATCCCCCTTCTTTTGTTTCTTTCAACATGTCTCACCACTAATTGATGCTCCAAGAAGATGTTTCCTTGAAGAGCTTTCACCTTCGTTTGTTTCAGATTGTGCCTCAAATTCCTCATGTTGTATTGCGTTAGCAGCCTCTTTAAAGGTTTATGCACCTTCATCATTGGCTCTATCTTTTACACAACACTATAATGTCATCCTAATTTTTAATCAAACGATTCTGGTAGCCTTTTGCATCTGGATTAGCCTGCAATATAAGAACATGGTAGCCTTTTGCATCTGGATTAGCCTGCAATATAAGAACATTCACAAATATTTTTAGATATATGCAACAAACTAATAACATTCACAAATATTTTTAGATATATGCAACAAACTAATAATTCAAATTAATAAGTATAAAGTGCAATATGAAGATGCTGATGACTGGTTGTGTTCTACTTGTCTTGTCTATATCTAAGTTGTCTGCATGTTACAAATGTGAGAAAAATACATATAATGTGAGCTGAGAAATGGTTAAAATTTTATGAGCAAGATACTTCAGGACATATCATTTTGCTTTCATCATCTTTGATTGTTGAACCACATGCTCCATTGTCTGATGAGTTTATGTAAATGTTTAAGCGTCAACTGCACCCCTAGCTTGGCATTGTATCCGCCCCTAATTCTACTATTATAATATTAATATTTATAATGCCGAAGTGGTTGACAATTATTTTCTAAAATAAAAGTACATACATTGATTGACTTTATTTCGCTATTTTTTCGGTACTAAGGGGGACCACTTGGTCTGAGATAAATTGTATTGATAATGACTCCTTAACCAATTTTTCCATTTATTCATTCCAAACTTATGAATTTCCTTATACCTTGGTTTGGAATCAAATATTCCTTGTGTCGTACAATAATTCTTGATTATATCACTAAGAAAAGGATAGGTACCCTGATATTGAAGTACAGATCTCAAATGATACTTGTTAAGTAATTGATTTTGTGATAATTTTTAAAAAACATAGGCTTGAGACAAAGAAGATAAGTCACAAGAAATATTAGAAAATGACTTTTTTTATAGTCGAAATAAAGTTCATTGTATTTTGATTTGTTTTCTCAAGTCCTTCTTGATTTGTTTCATCGTTGTAAATGGGAATAGAAATGAAAAATAAGAAATACTTGCGGGAAGAGGGTTGTACCATGAGAGAAGCGAGGGGTCAACTGCTTCAAATACACAACATGGATTCTAGCAAAGCAATGTAGTTAGACCCTCATGTCGATCCGAATGAATCAGTCTTTCTGCAGAGGTAAATCTTTGCTTGCTAGGCAAGATGGTAGCAAGTTACAAATTCTGTCTCAGTAGGACATGTATTTCTATTACTATGAAATTAATAAATGAAAGTGAAGTAGTTAATGGTAGGGTTACCGTTATCCTTTTTCTTGTATGTGTTCCTAAGAAAAGGAATTTGTCCATTTCTTAAAAGTACAATGACCTCAATTGATATTCATTGAAATGATCATAACTTCAAAGTAACACCCAATGTTTGCAGATGTTGAAAAGTGACTTAGTTTTAAATTGAGATATGGTAACAGGGCTAAGTTGAGAAAAAAATAATGATAAATTAAACTAAACCACTATGAACTATCAACATTTTGCATTAAACCCCCCATTAACTTCTAAAATCATACTAGACACCCCCAAGAACTTTCAAAGATCACAAAATGCCCTTAGACTATTAAAAAAAGAAAAAGAAAAATCACTGCATGACCTTATTATATTTTCAATTCTAAAAGCAAAAAGGCTCTCATTTTGTGTTATTCTTTTTTCCTCTTGCTCACACTGAGGATTGGGGACTAAACCCTAGTTGTTTTTTCTTTTAATAAACTTCAAAATGCCTTTTATGTTTTTTTTTCTAATTTATGGCTTACCTGCAAAATGCAAAAACTTGTGAGGTTATATTTGTAATTTTAAAATTTATTCAGGGTTTAAGTGGGATTTTGAATGTTATCGGGGATTTAGTTTGATTTTTAAAAGTCCTTGGGGCTTAGTCAGATTTTGAAAGTTATTCGGGGTTCACTAAAAATCGCTAAAAGCTTATGAGGATTTAGTGTAATTTACCCAAAAAAATAGAGCAGGAACGCCGAACCGGGCATGAATAGCTAGTACAATACTAAGGGGTTGTTTGGTTCGTTTCCATAAAATAATGGAAATGGATTACAAGCCAAATAACCATTTCCAAAAAATTTGGATCTCAAAGGAATCCATAACTTTTGTTTGGTATGGAATGATGAAGTGAAGAATATGAAAGCATATCCAAAACTCATATTTGTTTCATTGCCAAATAGTTTAGGGAGTTGTGAGAGGAAATAATGACTTGTCAGTTTTCTAGCCCAATTCCGAGCTTTTAAAAGAGGATTTGGGCCTTCCATAAGTTGAACCAAATGTTAGTTTTGAAATCCTATAATGTTAAAAAACCTACTTTTTGTTCCAAAACTGCAAGATTCCTAAAAATTTGGCCGAACCAAACAACCCCTAAGTTAAGAAAAGGTAAAGTAGATGGACCAATATTAGTATGAAGTTGCCGAACGCTAACAAAGTTGAGGGAAAAAAATAAAAAGATTATTTGCATATATATTTGAAAAACTAATATCTAAATATTAGCATTTGCAAAACTAACTCTTACACTATCAACTTCGAAGGTGCCTCTGGAATCAATATAAATCGTCGAATTGATGAGTATAAATTTAATTACTTTATTGATAATTTTTATATTGTAGCTACAAATTGGCCTGTTAAAATCGGGGGGCATTTTTCCAAAATTGATGATTTGAGGAATACTTTCCAAATGCTAAGATTTGGAGGTTAGGTGGAATAGATTTCTCTCTTGTTGATAGTTGGTTTTCCTCGTGCGTCCGGGGCTGCAAACCCTAGCTCGCCGGCGGCGGTGGAATCGAATTAGCTTACGAGGTGAACCTTCTGCTTATTTCACAAAAAACTAATAAAAACCGTAAATTTCCCCCGAAAAAATAAAAATAAAAATAAAAATCCCCACCCTGGTTTCTTCTTCTTCCGATTTAGAAAAGTAGTAAGAAAATACCAAAAGCTTCTATTCTTTCCCTTTTTAAAAAACACAATTTTTTTTTTTTTTGAAATACTGCAGGCGCTCGAAAACCTAGCCGACATGGAGAACAAGAAGAGCATCACCCCATCACAAGTCGAAGAAGACGGCTCCAAGAAGAAGAAGAAGAAGAACAAGATTCAGGTACTTTTTTTTCTATTACAAAGTTAATTCTGATAATTATGGTTTAATATGAAAATATTTGTGCGTTATGTAGCCCGAAACGAAAACTGAAACTTGCTGCTCATGGCTTCTGCTACCACTTGACATCATGACTAACATTCTCTCAAGACTAACTCCGAAATCTATTGCGAAATTCCTCTGTGCCTGCAAGCAATGGCTTTCTCTAACTCACGATGCCCGTTTCCTGAGATCACTGCACGCGAGTTCCGCGAGCTACATAATTATTGGTAAATACATTGTTAATGGTAAAATCGAGTTGTATGATTTCAGTATGGGCGATGGAGGAAAACCTAAGAAGATTTCGTACAGGCTTAATCTTGGAAGCAAGGATTATAGGTTATCAAATTTTGTCGATGGTTTGACTTGTCTTCATTATGGCAACGGAGGTCCTAAACCTGATATATACTTGTTAAATCCTATGACTCGGGAACTTCAGAAACTTCCAAAGAACAATAGTCATTGTGAAGCCTATGAATATGAAAGTTTTGGTCTGGGTGTCGACATGAATATGGGGCTATACAAGATAGTTAGATTATTATCTCTTAGAAGGCATCCCGCTCAACATCCTGCGCATTGTGAGATCTATACTGTGGGCACTAGAGAATGGAGGTGCCTTGGTGAAGCTCCTTTTGGAGTATGGTGTTATTATAAGCCTGTTCTCCTTCATGAAGCCCTTTACTGGATTGGTAATCTCCAAGGAGAAGAAAAATTATGTCTTTTCAGATTCAGTATCAAAGATGAGAAGTTTGGTTCAGCAATATCGCTCCCCCATCCCTCGTTATCCTCCCATATGTCATACTCCAGTTTAAGGGAGTCTGGGGGGAAGCTTTGGCTTACATTCAGGAATCCAACCGAAAATTACTTTGAGATATGGACTATGAAAGACTATTTGAATAATACATGGGTCAAAGAACATCAATTCCATAATGATGACCTCTCAAGTTTGCACCAGGTTTATGGAGCTGATGTCATAGATATTGTAGATGGTGATATTCTCTTTAGAGACTACAAATCTGGAAGATGGAATGGCATTTCTTATAATCTTTGTAGCGGAGCTTCGCACAAACTCTTCCTTGGTGGACAACAAAGTGATTTTGCTTTTTACAGGGAAAGCCTTATTTCACCAAAAGCTGTCGATGGTATCTCAAAGATGTAGAAAACAGGGTGGAGATGAGTAATGCATCAAATTTATTTGGGACGATTTCAGTTATGATGTGGGCATTATGTGCCTGGGAAATTGGACCCTGTTTTGAAAGCTTGCTTAAATTTTTTTACACGTCATTTATCACTAGAGGAATTGAACACTATCTAATTTGCAAGCTTACAGTATATTTTGGAATTTCTTATTTGTGCCTTTAGAATTGTTTAGCTTTAGTAGTTTCTTTTCGCCTATAAGAATTTTGCAGTTTATGTAAAAAAAAATTTGGAGTCATTGATTTGATGAGTATATCATTCATTGTTTGTTTTCTAAGTCATAATATCCATTTTCTTGGCTCTATGTGCAAGAGATCTTACACTAATGCTTGGTGGATCACTTTTTTCACATAGCTATTATGCAAAATCTTTAGCATTTGAGAATTTGTTTTCCTTCTTAGATTAGCCTATTAGTCATTAGTTTGTTCCCCATGTGTATTCATTGAATTTTACTTTTGAGATTGTCAGATAAAGTTAAGTTTTCATTGTTGATATCTGTAATAGGTTTTTTTGAGAGAATATTGTGACCCTAATTAGTTTTACACGCAAGGTAGTTTAATTGATGATAGCAACTACTAGAGATATGAATAAGCTAAACCATATATAATGGCATGTCATTTCTTATAATCCTTGTAGTGGGGCTATGCACAAACTCGTCCTTGGAGAAAAGAAAATGTCTATTCAGATTCAATATTAAAAAATCAGGAGTTTGAATCTGCGATATCACTTCCCTATCCATCCTCTCATTGTATGTGTTTCGTAGGCGTGTGTTTCGTCTGAAAGAGTCTAGAAGGAAGCTGTGGCTGGTATATTGAAACTCAATCAAAAGTAACTTTGAGATATAGACTATGAAAGATTATTTGAATTCTATATTGGTCAAAGAGTATAAATCCCATAATGATAACCACTCAACTTTGACATGAAATGTGAAAATATGACATATTGGGAAATTTTTTTATAATAAAGTTGATTATTTGTTGATTTGGAGGTTACTTTCTTCAAAATTGATGATTTGGGAGGTAGATTTTGCAAATATGCCTGGTTTAAGGGACATATATGAAAAAACACTTATAAAAAATTGGGGAAGCTCTTTCTGCCCTGCTACTTTCGTACTTTAGAATCGCCACACGGATTTAAAAAGTCTAATGGTTTTCGAAGTTACTTTTTAATTTGCCTAATTTACTTGCTTTACCTTTTGCAACATAGGGCATGTTTGGTTGATAAGAAGTAGTTGAAGTAAGAAGTAGATTAAATCTTTTACTTCTAAAATTATAAAGTATGAAGTAACGGAAGTACTACTTTTTTTGTTTGTTTTATAAATTTTTAAAAGTATAGGAAATATTGTTTCCTCCTCTTCATTCACTTTTATTTTGTAGCAATTATAAATATTGCTAGGAAGAGAAAAAGAGGATCTTTCGGAATTTTATTTAGAAACAGAGAATATCTATGCAATAGCAGAAATGATTTTATTCCTAAATTGGCTCAATTTCAGCTGCTTTTGAGGTGCTGCCGAGCCTTGAGAGGAGAAAAAATATTCAATAAATAGAAACGACACGCAAGCGCCATGTTAGCTTTTAAGAACGCCGCAAGTGGCTTTTCTATAGAAACAAACATGCTTTTCTTCTCAAAAGTAGTAGAAGTATCATCTACTTTATTTACTTTAGCGGTTTTATAGCTATTTTCTTGTAAACAAACAGACCCATAGACGCTCAAGTCCTTTTTCAGTTGAAAAAAATATTTTATGTGCAGTTTCTTCAAATCTCAGTTAATTGTCATGTCTTTAGCATTATTACTGGGATCTTATATACACTGTTGGACATAAATTGGTGTCTGATGTTACTTTGCAGGTGAGATGCTTGTATCTGAAGAGCACCATGGGGAAGCAAGCCTATCTGAAATTTTTTCAACTACACCTCGCGCAAATTTGACTTCGTGAAAGTTTTGGAAGAATTTTTTGTTACATTTGTTTGTCTGTTTGTTTGTTTTTAAAGGAAAAGGCTGGGATCTGTAACAGATCCCAGCTACCTGCATTCCATCATAAACAAATTGGTTTAAAAAAGAAAATAACTACCATCTCCTACCATAAGAGGGTAGCTATCAAAAGTCTGATATGTCTTAGGTCACCAGAAAACAAACTTCATCCCAGTTCTTTTCATTATGTTATCGACTCTTGTTTGTTCAATTGCAATTTTGTTTTTATGAGTTGACAGAAGGTAACGAGACTGGTGAATATTTTTCCCCCCCTGGATTATATAGATAGATTCAATTTTGAGACCATCTCAATTGTTGTATGGGTTTTCATGTGTTTAGAGCAAGGCTAGACTTTCTTTTATTGGGTGAGATGCTTAGTTGCACGACTTTATTAGTTGGATGCGGGTAACTTTTTTTTTTAGATAGCAACTGTAGTTCCATGATTTGATGGAACTGTTCAATATTGGGGGTAATGCTTTGATGCTAGTTATACATTTACATATCAAGTAGTTTGATATGTAATTCTTATAATGCCCGTAGTTATTATTATTATGGCAAAAATGTGTCCAGGCCTCAAAAGTAGAAAGTTCATGTGGCCCGCCCCCTTGTATTCTGACTCATGTGTATAAGCCCCAAATACACACTGTATTTGTATTAAGGCCCCAAAGTATCGGACTCTGAGAAAAGCCCAACAAAAGTTACAAATTTACCCTTTGATTTGATTGAGCTTGGTAACTGCGCTCATTCCTTTAACCCCATCACATCTCTCTCTCTCTCTCTCTCTCTCTCTCTCTCTCTCTCTCTCTCTCTCTCTCTCTCTTCTCTCTCTCTCTCTCTCTCAACTTCTCCTTCTCTCTCACTTCCGTCATGGCCACTGAAAATGATCAGACCCTGGGGAGGTCGTGGAAGGCGAAGGCGAGGACGGTGGTCATGGAGTCGGAGGTCGGGGAGTCATCTTGGAAACAACTCGTGAACGCGGGTTCAACGACAAACACGAAACATGGTCCGGTGGGACCCGCGAGCTGACGGAGCCCGGAGCTTTGGTCCGATGCATCGTTGTTCTCCCCTTTCTAAGTTACGGAATATCTTTACCCAAATCAATGTCTTAATCAAGATAGTGCTCTTGTTTTCTTGTAATTTATGAAGGGAATCGATATTGGGTTTTTATAGTTTTTCTCTTTCATTTAATTGAAATGGGATCTCCTTGGATTCTTAAACAACGGTTTGGGTTTTCCTTTAATGCCTTTTTCTTGTGTGATTTGGTGATTGACAGAGTTCTGTATAAGAGATTAACAGCAAAAATTTTCAAAAGCTCACATTGAATCTTCAGGCATATCGACATGTAGCTAAAAATTAAAGACAATGTGATTAAAAGTCGACTAAAGAATCTAAGAACCTGTGAATTTGAAAGGGGGGACAAGGAAAATTAGAACTATGAATGTTAGTTCTAAGGGCTGTCATGTTAGTTCTAAGGGCTGGAATGTTAGTTTTAAGGGCTGAACTGTTAGTTCTAAAGGCTGGACTGTTAGTTCTGAGGACTGGACTGTTAGTTCTAAGGGCTGAACTGTTAGTTCTAAAGGCTGCACTGTTAGTTTTGAGGACTGGACTGTTAGTTCTACCAGTTTTCATGTTATTTTTGTCATCTCTTACGTTAGTTCTACCCGCTTTCATGGTAGTTCTGTTATCTCCTACGTTAGTTCTGTTCGTTGCCATGTTAGTTCTGTCCGTTCTACCTTCTTTATGAGAACATTATAAACAACAATATCAGGATGAACACCATTTTTAAGCATCATTCTATAAAGTTTAAACCCAGCTATTAGATTGCCATGCTTGCACAAGCAATTGACCAAACTGCAGTATGCTACGACATCTGGCATAAATCCCCTCTTTAGTATTTGAAAGAAAATTATTGATGCTTCCTTCAACATTCCTTGCACAACCATTCCCTTGAGAAGGATGGTGAAAGTAACTATATAGGTATGAGCTTGTGTACTCCCAATTGTCTATAGATTTTATGTTGGTGAAAGTAACTACATGAATTAGAACTAGAACTAACATGAAGTGAGTTACAATCAACATAAAATGAATTAGAACTAACAAAGAGCACAAGAGCCTAAAACTAACATGAATTAGAACTAGAACTAACATGAAGTGAGTTAGAACTAACATGAATTAGAACTAGAACTAACATGCAGTGGGTTAGACAAAGAACGAGTTAGAACTAACATGAATTAGAACTAGAACTAACATGAAGTGAGTTAGAACTAACAAAGAGCAAGTTAGAACTAACTTTAAGTGAGTTATAACTAACAAAGAGCAAGTTAGAATTAACAAAGAGCAAGTTAGAACTAACTTTAAGTGAGTTAGAACTAACAAAAAGCAAGTTAGAACTAACATGAAGTGAGTTAGAACTAACAACGAGCAAGTTAGAACCAATATAAAGGCCCAAGGCCCAATCAAATACTTTTAAATATATATTGTAGGTGTAGGGGTTTGAACTCTTGATCTCCTCTCCAAATTACCAAGATTTACCACTAGACCAAGTAGCCAAAGCATTAATGTTAGTTCCACTTAAAGTTAGCTCTTACTTGCCATTAGAACTAACATGAAATAAGTTAGAACTAACATGAGTTAGCTCATGATAGAATTTAAAAAATAGCATAAATAACTAGAGTTAGCTCATGTTTGTTCTATCGCAACTCATGTTAGTTCTAATTTTTATCAACTCATGTTAGTTCTAATTTTTACCAGCTCGTGTTAGTTCTAATTTATTTAATGTGTTAGTTCTAGCGTAAATGTTGGGTCTAAACGTCATGTTAGTTCCAATGTATGTCATATTAGTTCTAGCTTCTCCAGTGTTAGTTCTAACAGATATCGTGTTAGTTCTAATTTATTTAAGTCGTTAGTTCTAGCGTAATTGTTGGTTCTAAACACCATGTTAGTTCTACTTGATGATGTGTTAATTCTAGCTTCTCCAGTGTCAGTTCTAACAGGTATCATGTTAGTTCTAATTTATTTAATGTGATATTCCTAGCGTAAGTGTTGGGTCTAAACGTCATGTTAGTTCTAATTTTTGCTATATTAGTTCTACCTTCTCCAGTGTTAGTTCTAACTGGTATCGTGTTAGCTCTAATTTATGTAATGTGTTATTTCTAGCGTACTTGTTGGTCTAAACACCATGTTAGTTCTACTTGATGATGTGTTAGTTCTAGCTTCTCTAGTGTTAATTCTATTTG